ATGACTAACCGCCTCAGTCTACTTCTGTCGCCGAAGAGGCAGGTCTGGGACACAGGGGCATTAAGGAACCGAACTTTGTCAGCGTCCCTCATATCAACCAGACACAGCCAGAGATGGCGCTCCTGGACCACAAGTGTGGACATTGCACGACCCAGAGAACACCAGTAGAGGTTCAGAGCTCTTTCAGAACTTCCGGATCATGACCACCCTCGTGCAGTTCCCTCAGTGCGTTGGCCTGATGAACCTGCAGTAACGCTGTAGCGTGTAAGGCGGAGGCAGCTTTTCCACAGGCCGTATAAGCATCGCCGGACAGGCCAGACGAATACCTACAGACCCGGGAGGGGAGACACAGTTCGCCCTGCCGGGTGGAGGCGGCGTTAGGACACAACTGCATCGCAACCGATCACTTAACCGGGGGATCCACGTATACCCCCTAGCTGCACCACCGTCGAGGGTGGTGAGGGAGGAGGAACTAGCAGGTTGGTTTCCGGCAGTAAAAGGTGACGTCCATGACCTGGTGAGCTCCTCATGCACCTCCGGGAAGAAAGGCACCGAGGCGGGGCACTGAGAACCAGTGCGAGCCACCCCGAGAAACCAATCGTCCAACCTTGAGGGCCCGGGACGCGGTGGAAGTTTCCACTCGAACCCTACCCTCTCGGCGGCCCAGGAAAGCATAGCCGACATCTCTGGATCCGATTCAGGCCTTGCCACCGTCCTGGAGGGCGGCAGCGCAGCCAAATCTTCCTCTACAGAGAGCTCTCCCTCTGATGCAGTGATCGACATCCGGTCGTCGGGAGGAGCGCCTAAGGATACTGCTGGTACGCTCTTTGAAGAGGGCCCAGCGCGTTCCTTTGGCGGCTCAACTGGCGGCTCAAAGCGCTAGAGGAGTGATTGTCCCCTGAGGGATGGTTCCCTGAGGGGTTTGCCACCACTGTAACCCTCTACTGCCCGAAGTAGTCCACACCTGGATGCCGCCAGGACGAACACTAGATCGCAGCAGAGGCAACGGAGCTCCGCCCCCCTGGAGGAAACAGAGCCTGGCCCGCAGCTCCGAGATGGTCATCTTCCCGCAATGGGAACATGACTCATCCGCGAACACCACCTCATGTTTAATGCCCAGACATGTGAGGCAGCGATTGTGACCATCACCTGGCGCCAAGTAACGAACGCATCCAGAAATGCACGGGTGAAACAGCACCTTTAAAAAGACGATCCGTCTTTATTGTACTCTTTTAGAGAAATTGGCTATTTTAGGGAAATGCTCTTTTACGTGCTGAGGCGCACAGGGGAAATGGCCGCTTGCAGCACGACTGGGGGTAGTGCAGCCTGAAGTGCGCAACCCACTCGACACAGGAACGACCACCGCTGATCTCTCTAAGCGAGATCCCAATTCGTCGGTCACCGACGTGACTCGTAGTGACCGACTGAAAGGGAACTATAAACAGTGTAGCATTTGGACCAATCAGACACACAACTTTTTGTTATATTTAACAGCAGAGGCAACGGAGCTCCGCCCCCCTGGAGGAAACAGAGCCTGGCCCGCAGCTCCGAGATGGTCATCTTCCCGCAATGGGAACATGACTCATCCGCGAACACCACCTCATGTTTAATGCCCAGACATGTGAGGCAGCGATTGTGACCATCACCTGGCGCCAAGTAACGAACGCATCCAGAAATGCACGGGTGAAACAGCACCTTTAAAAAGACGATCCGTCTTTATTGTACTCTTTTAGAGAAATTGGCTATTTTAGGGAAATGCTCTTTTACGTGCTGAGGCGCACAGGGGAAATGGCCGCTTGCAGCACGACTGGGGGTAGTGCAGCCTGAAGTGCGCAACCCACTCGACACAGGAACGACCACCGCTGAAGCGCCGTCCGCCA